AAGTCGCCATCTTTGTTTATATGAGACCCATATATCTTGCGCATGTGGCGCGACGACTACCGCCCTTTAAGTATAGTTGTTGCACTAGTTGGGGTGAAGGCCGAATGTATTGTATTGTAAACGCATGTCAAGAATTGAAGAAGAAAAAGCAGCGACTAAAGCTGCTCGCTCCGAGCCAAGGTGCAAGGTCTGATTTACAATAGCGATTTACAAAATATGCCACAGTTACGTGGCTAATACAATGCTGGTTTACACACGATGCCACAATTACGTAGCCAAGACAATGTCGGTTTACAAAATATGTTATTACTATCTGTAGCTATTACACTTAGCATATAAATGAAATGTAGAAATTACACTCTCCATATGAATAAAAGTGTGGCTAGTTTACAATTAGCATAACGACCAAGAGACGTGTGTGGATTTACTAAAATAAACCAACGACCAGAACAATTGGTCGCAAGACCATGAGTGGTTTCGTGTTCAAAAAATTCGGTAGATTACCAGCGTTGGCAACTGTGCCGTCACATGCGGTGTGGTTATGTACAAGGATCGTACTGATGATTTATTTATATAGTGAAGATAAATACTAGTAAAATATATGTAATATCGCTCGTTCCGACCTTGATTCAATCTCAAAGTAGGGTAAATTAAGGGATGGCCAATATACTTTTATGTCTGGGTGGGCTCGTTTTTTTAACGGTTTTTGAGTAGTATATACCTACCTACGTACTATGGCACGTGATGACTGTTTGGTTCTACCAAGCTACATAATCTGATTGTACATTTTGTTTTATCGTTGATATCGTTTTCTAATCCTCCACGATCATAAACTCTGAGCTGTCCCTACGAAATGACTTCGTCGGCATAATACAGGTTTACTGGTTTAGTTTATTGAAACACTTAACATTCCTCAGAAGAAATTGAAATGGTTACACTAACTGCTAAAGCACATAATATAAAACATACAAATTTTACAAGAATTACTGTCTAAAGCACGACAATGGTTTAAAAAAAAAGCAAAAAAACAACAAACTACAGTTACAAACAAACTACAAGTATTGATATATGTAGGTAATAATATTGAAAAAAAAATAGATGAAATAATAATAAAAAAATAAGCAATAAACAGTAAATCAAAGAAAGATGGAAATGAGAAAAAAATGTATTAAAGGAGAGAAGTATTTATGTTAATTTGCCAGAAGATATTGCTGTCTAAGGTTCGTGTTATTTTGATAAATTGGGCAACTAGTATTTGTACATTCAGGTTTGTATCACTCATTAGATTTAAAAATTTGTTGTAGTCATTCATATTCGTGAAGTTTATGATGTGCTTAGTAGTCTCTTCAATTATAGTGCTTTACGCGATTTTTCGTAAAAGGGGCATTCAATCATGAAATGGTACTCATCTTCTACTTTGTTATTTGAACACAGTTCGCAGATTCTTTTTCCTATTTCGGTTTTTGGTTTGGTGTACCTCCCTGTTTCAATTTTTAGTTTATGATTGCTCAGACGGAACTTACTTAATATAATATAGTAGAGCATAATATAATATAGCAATAAACCATGACAAACTGATGTGTTTATACACTTGATGATATATGTGTGTACTCAATCGGTTTCTACCAATCACAGCGTTTACATATATCAGTTACAATCGCCCGGTTGTATAAGAGGTCACATCAACTAATACTGTGCCATTTACATTCACAACGCCGCGACTATTGAACCTACAATGCTGACACCGATGTTTCATATCGTAATTCTGGCAGCGATGCTCTCCTGTGGACATGGGAATATTATGGAACATGTGTTCAACGCACTGGCAGAAGTCGCCATACGAGCATATAACTCCATTGTGTTTGAACCAAACAATACAATTTATGAACGACTTCTTGGTTCCTTCTAGTCAGGGACCAGTCTATGCTCGTCAAAGTGAGTAGGATACCCTATGTACTCTATACCATATCTATAAGATTTGAAGCAGGGAGGAGGGTCGTCACCTGCGCACGCGCGGGAATTGAGTCCCAAGCGACGATAACAACATACACTAAAAACGCAAAGCCTCATGGGTATACGCTTGCTTGTAAACAATGACACGCTATGACCATCTTATACAAGCGCAGGTGACGACTCCCCGCTTTAATATATAGGTACAATATTTCTGTTGGTTTGTGTAGATTATTTGTCGTGTTTGCATAGTTAATTAGGTCTGCTAAGAAATACACATTGTCTCTAAATACCGTGACGATGTACAGAAAGAATTTAAGTGCCGTTACGATATGCTGAACATGACAATCAAATTACGGAGATCTGCGACACGGTGATTTAACCTCAAAACCCATCTCAATTTGTCACCAAATTTTAAAATCCGTATTAACATTCTGAGGAACACATGGGTCGGCACTTAATTACTAACTATTAAATTATTTAATTATTGTATATCAATTGGCCCTGTCAAAATGCAAACTAGATTCTCATAACTGCCCTTTTTCCTTCCTGTACTTTTATTATTGTTGTAAATTTGCAAAATTTATGCATGGTTTATGAAAAAAGAAACCAGGTCACTTAGTATCATAATACTACCATCGCATGGGTACAATGAGACTATATTTGCATATATGCGCGCCATCGTATGTAATACAAATTGTTAAGTAATCAATCTTGGTAGATCTTATTCATATACTGCCATACAAGTAACAACTATCTAAAAGAAAGCTATACTAAGTTCACCGTTGAGAAGCACTGACAGGCTGACTGACTGGCTGACTGACTGACTGACTAGTGTACTGACAAACATACATATCCTTGCACAAGCTAATAGAATGAGAAGGTCTGGTAGTCGATAAATACAATATAGAATATACGCACAACAAATCACTGATTTGAAACTGCCAAATGTTTTTTATGAAGTAGCCCTTAATATATCATGTATATTTGAATTACGGTTGTCGTAGGCCTGTGTATATAGGTCGAAAGGTGTGTTATTTGTCTAGCACAAGTGCCAGTGTGTCATCTCAGCCTGCAATGGCATACAACTGGTAATTTTTGGGGTGCTATATCTTTCCCGTTATTTGTTTTCAGATTAAAATTCTATCAGCTTAGCGTTTTTTTGTTATGTGTCTCAACTTGCAGACTAAACATTTTCGTTGAAATTACCGCCAAACATGAAATCTATTTTTTTCACTAAACTCACCCTTGACGCTAGTGGGTAGTATACACACACGTGACAGGAAAAATGTCGTCTACGCCAGGTATTAATTGTATTGACTCCCTCAGCAAAAGTGTCCAAAATTGGAGAAGCATGTCAAGCTCTATGCGATGGAAATTTGTTGTTTCAGCGACCGATGCTGAAACAGTGTCACGATCGCCGCTGTCGGTTGAAACCAATCCCGGTAAGAATGTTCAAGTTGGTTCAAATCCCGGGTTTAAATGGGAGCTCCTCGTCGCGTCCGGTAACTTAGGCACATACACTCTCCGCACGGACGAATTGAGTAGGTGTTTCCGTTCGGGAAAAAACAGGAGTCGCCGTGGGAATCGTGGGGGCAATATGCCAGCAATTTCTCGACCGACATGGCCTCATGCTTGCATAGCATCGGCTCGGGGGGGGGGGGCAGTTGATACATACCTGGCAAGGGCTAACAGTTGCATTGTATATTGGAATATGTATTTTGACCATAGAAACACCCTCTGTCACTTACATAAGAGCATATTATTAACACAGTTATTTGTATCAAATCAAGAAAAATGTCACCGAATAATTATA